CTCTAGAAGATGACTTTCATGATAAATTTCAAATAAAAAAGTTATTGGCAAAAGATGGATTTCACAGGACCACTCTAATGACAAATTTATATAAAATGTGCTAGTACATTTGTTTCAATATTTGGACATTAAGTGTCTTCGAAAAAGTTTTTGTTCTTAAAAATTCCCTTCTTTTGGTGTTTGCAGACGTCAGGGTGGTCCTCAAATTAGGGAATTTTTAAAACTAACTTTTTTGTTTTACAAAATATAAACATGTGTTGTTTAAAAAAGTTGTAGTTAAGTTACTTGCAAGCAACTTTGTCGAAGAAAGTTTTTTTCTATCTCTTAACGTTCTCATTTTAGAGTAATTTTTTGGAGGGTGACTTAGGGTGTTCCTGGAAAAAATAGTTTTTTAGCAATAACTTTTTTATTTCAAATTTCTCATGAAAGTTATCTTCTAGAGAACTTTGAAACTATTTTAGACGAATGTTTTTTACCTGAATTTGTTGCCTGTATCTCTTCTAATACAAAAGATATACCCAAATATAGTAAAAAATATGAATAAATTCAAATTGATTTTATACGAGTTTAAAAAATAACATACCTCCAATTTTTTTCATATTATTGAGAATAACATACGCCCTTTCAAATGCTGCAAAAAAACTTTTTTTTTTTGTTTGCACCAACCAGAGAAATTACTATTTGAAAAGTGCATATTTTTAGTATGCAAACGTCAATAACTCTTGATCGGCGAAAGATATTGACACGCTTTGTGCAGCACAAATTTGCGCCTTCTTAAGATCTAAAAGTTATCTGAAGACACCTTTGCTGAGAAATTCGAAATAAGAAAAACAGAGCAAAAAAACTGTTTTTTTAAGAGTCACCCTAACTCAATTCAAGAAAATAGCTCTAAATCGGCCAATTTAAGAGATACAAAAGAGTTATTTTCAACAAAGTTGCTTGAAATTAGCTCAGCTATAACTTTGCTGAAGAATGTATACCTTAATTTATTCAAACAAAAAAGTTAGATTTTTGAATTTTAATGATAATAGGAACCACCCTAGAATTCATTATCATAAAAATGAGGGCCTAACTATAAGGAACAACTTTGTAGAAGAGACTTTTAGTCTAAAGTTTCAATTTCAGGCTCAAAACATATCATTCCAGCTAAATCTGCATTCTGTACCACTGTGCAATGGGGTTTTCTTCTGCTTCTTCTGGGCTGGCTCGGTGTTCGCGCCGTCTCCTGGGAGAGGCTGTTTTCCCGGTAAACCGGCACTCGCGTTACCGCGCGATTTCTTACCCATGGCTGGGTCAGCGAGAGCGTCACTACACAACGCGAACGAACGAAAGAACGAAACGAGAGAGAATAAAAATCGACTGAACTGCTCAACAGTCTGGCAGCGAATGCCATACAGCAGCGCTCTTTTATATCTTTTCAGGTTAAAGCAGAATGATGTGCAACCAAGTGGTATAAAAGCTACAAAGACTCCTCCCATTATGAGTAGTTTGCTATCAAGTTATGACACTGGATCTTTTCCGTTTGCGTACACGGCGAATGAGAACGACCCAAATTTGAGTTTAGTTCACTCATAATCGCCAAAAGTGCAGGAACTCAGCGATGAGTAAATTTGTCTCATGGTTTCCTGTGGAAAACCTAAAAAATCCGCCAGAAAATGAGGAAATTGACGAAAATTTTATTCAGTCTCGGAGAAGTACCAATAGACTGAGTGAATCAAATCTTTACTTTTCTCGAATTCGGGAATTTTTCCCTGGAAAATCCTGGAAAACCCTGGGATAACATGAGGCAAATTTACTCATCGCTGAGTTCCTGCACTTTATTTCTTATTTCTGAGATAACTAAACTCAAATTTGGGTCGATCTCATTCGCCGTGAAAGATATCGGTGCCGGTGGTTAACGTGTTTACCTCTCACCCCAGCAGGCCTGGGTCCAATCTCAGTCGGCGCCACCGGCATGTTCTAAGGCATAACATCTCTGATCACGCCTTCCTTCGGGAAGTAAAGCCGTTGGTCCCCGGTTGAGTTGATGGGTCGATTAGTAGGGTCCAGGTGTGGGAGCTGCCTCCCTGGCGTCGGTAACATTGGACCTCAGTACGGAAAAATAAATCTTGCGTCACTTTTTAATAGGTCCTATCTACATTGATCGATTCTCTTCATCGACACTCTCTTTCGTAAATAGCTCGGCTTCACAAATGTTTCCTGCCGTCTTCGTCGAATTAGATGCTAGATTGTTGCTTCTTCCATCGAAAATATCCGACCGTGGCGATTCAAAGTTGATCAAGGTTGATCAAAATCCAGTTTGATTACATGAGCATTTTGTGTTGTCATTGGCTCTGACAAACAGGCAGATGAATTCTATTCCTGTAATTTACTGTAATAAGCTCGGTGGCCCTGAAAAGAGCCGTTTTGTTGTCAAAGTTGGTGATGATTTAACCTCCGAAACCAAACAGAGTGCGTCTCTGTCACTTCAAAACGTAGATGACATCCATGGCCGCTTACGCTTGGCGTGTTTAGTGTAGGTGACAGCACCACGGCAAGCCAGACGACGGATGGTGGTTATCTTGAAGAATTTGCGTTTGGTTCTAAATATGGCGATGAGTGTGCAGAATATTACGCAATTCCATCCTCCCTATTCGCACGCGCCCGAGGATCGCAGGCAAATGCCACTTCGACTTGTTTCGTCGACTTACTACTCTCTGGCGACTGTGCTTGGGAAGCAGCATATGCATGTAGGTAATTGGTGTATTTGTTAGTTAATTCGACGCTTTTGGACTAAGCTTAACATTTAACAGTTTTTCATGTTGGAAATCGACTTTCGGAAGCATTGTCAGCATAGCCATATTTCTGATCGATTGGTGATAAAATTATTGAAATTGGACCAGGGGCAGCTGAGTTATTAACGTTCAAAATCTTTCTTAATTTGTTACATGTTCCATATTCGGTTTTCACAAAGTGTAGAAATCAAAGACGTAGTCTTACGTCGAAAAGTTGGGTAAATTTTTTTAGGGTGCATATTTTTCTCAAATTGTCACATCTATTACCTGCAATATTGCCCAGGACACCAAACCGATCGGACAAACAGTTTTCGAGTAAAAAAATTCTGAAGATTAGCTTGATATTTTTCTATAGGCCCTTTTCAAAAATAAGACTGGATTCAAAATGGCGATATGAAGACACAAAATGGCATTGTCGGTCATAAGGAACGTTTCCGCAAATATTCAACCAAATAAAAAAATACAAAAATAAACTGATTTGTGAATTTGTAGGGAATTGCTCTAAATCACCCCGGGAGCTTTTTGACAGCTCTAGTATAATATCAATGTACCCCGAAAATTCTGGTACTCTGGATGGCCCCGAGGAATTAACCAGACCAGACCAAATTATGAATTTTGATTTCATCAAATCGATTAAATTCCAAGATATGAGGAAAAGTTGTGATAATCCACCTTGGGCGAGATGAACGGTTATACCACGTACACGGCCTGAAGCCAGGAAGAGGAGCAGACAAAAAAGCTCGATCATTTTAAAAAGAGTTGTCGTTCACCGTTCATCCCGGGAAATAAGTTCATAAGCTCAGTTTATGAGCGGATTGCCCACCTCTAGTGTTTACCGTCTGCGTTTGATTTCTACGTTTGACCGTAGGCACAGTGAGGCGAAGTAGCTCGTAATTGAATATATTTGCATGAATTATTATTTTTTGAAAATTAAATTAAGATTCACAGATAGCTTTTAGCCTCAAATGCAAAATTTCAGGATAATCCGAATTTTGTACATAGCGGTAATTATGGAAATTCGTCGAAATAGTAAATATTTGATTATGACACATTCAAGAGTGATTTTTCAAAAAACCGTATTATGCTTTTGGAAACAAAGATGCAATCGTCAATTTGTCGAAACTCTTAGCTCAGCCACGCAGACTAACAACACCTTTAGGTAGGGTTTACGTGGACAAGCTAAGAGCTTGGGAAAATTAACGATTGAATTTTTGTTTACAAAAGCAGATACGGCTATTTTTTTTTTTTGCTTTATTAAACCTTTTAACTGTTGTCATTCGGGTCCGGCTATTTGAAAATTCACTTTTGCATTGATCATTCAAGAAATTTGGCCGGGATTCTCTTACCACATCTTACCGTTTTATTCGCTTTAAGAGATGTTCGTTCTAAGCTAGAGATGGGTTTGTGTAAGGGTGCCAGGAATTTGTGTGAACTAACTATCTCGAAGACATTGATTTGGAGTCAAACGACAGTAGTAAATTCGGACTAAACTACTTTGTACACAGTTTTTAAACAAAATTCAATATGGATTTCCCTAAAATGTTTCCTTCAATTCTCCTCAAATATTCCAATATGTATTCTAAGGTTCTTTGAACGTCTCGGGCATTGTCTTTCGAAGAACCTCGATGTTTCGCTGTAGGTTCCTCAGGACTTAGCGATTGTTCCCAAGACTTCCTCAAAATTTACTTTGATCTAATCCTCACGGAATCCATTTGCAATGCGCCTCTGAGCTTTTTCGAAGATTCAACGACTAGTAATATTCAGCTTACCGTATTTTTTTTTTATTTAATCAAAAATTTAATTCCATTAGTAGGAGAAAATTAAAGAAAAATCGTTTCACGCCGTCAGCCGTTTTTTTCCTCCTACCTCTACCCGACATAAGAAAAGGTGCAAATGGGTCGGGATGCTATTAAAATTAGCCGTCAAGTGGATAATTGATGGTGGTTGTTCAAATTCAATAAGACATATTCCGGGAAATTCACTTGCGGTCAATGAAACTGAGATTCAAATTGTGTTTGACTTCGTAGAAAGTAAATGAACCCTCGTTGTTCTATTGCTGCTGGTGTTGGAAGAAGGTTGAACACAAGTTCCAGGAAAACACCCCAAACAGAGATTGACGCTCAACATCAAAGTGAGATAATTTACCGTCGGGATTTTGATGGGAAACTCGGATCAAAGGCTGTCACGCCCCACGGAACTAATTTCTATTCTCTGCTCTCGTTTCAGATAACCTCAAATCGGACCAAACCCAGTCTTACCCCCAGTATCAGTACGTCAGTGGTGGAAATAACAACAACAATAACGGCAGCAAGAATCACATTGTAAAATCGGTTCCTCCCGATTTGACGCCAGGGAACGAATTCATAGGCGGTGGAAACGTGTGTAATGGGTCGGACGATTGTCAGTATCAGGACGGGTCGTGTCCGAACGAAAACGGGATCAATCCGAACGATAGGAACAAATTTTGCGGCAGTCTGCCGAACCACCTGGACGCAAACGACGCCTGCGAAGCCATCTTCAAGCAGAACGGTGAGTCTAATTGCATCCACAATGAAGTGACAAATCACGCAAACAGTCCCCATAATACCCCTGCATATCATTTTATAATCTCAGGATCCAATCTGAGGTCGGAGAAAAACTAGTCCAATTATAAATTCAATGAAGCCGAAAATAATCCCGCACGAGGTCTCGGCAATCTCTACGCTGTGCTGGCTATAATCCAACTGGCAGCGCAAGGTCAGTTAAAAACAATGGTGATGATGATAATTGAATGAAGCATGGCTGGCTGAGATTCTCTCGAATCATCGTCACACAAACAAATTCCAATTATCACACCACCACCATCACCGTTGTTCGGCACCGGTCGTCGGTAACATTATTACGTTTTTTGCCCTCTCAGCTTGGCCGTTTGTGCTTGCCACAAAAAGTACGGATGAGGGCATCAATTTGATTACAAATTTGCATTTTTCCCCTGGTGGTTTGCCTGTCGATGTCGAGCCACTAAGCGAAAGGGGTTTGTCCTGGGGTAATCTCGAAAAGTGTATCCAGTTCGGTCACCTTGAGGGAATTGACCTTCCGATAGTGATTCTGGAATGGGGGCGTCTGCAGCAACTTTGAGTCGTCGGTTGCAGTTCGTTGCAGAGATTTTTTTATTCAGTTTAAAACTGTATGTCCAAATATTGGCTAAAGGGTATGTTTCCAAACCGCTTGGAATTCCGGTGGATTTTGGTTTCTGGAATTTATCGGACATTTCTTGAACATTTCCGTAGCATCACTTATTCCATAGGTTTGACTTCTGTGCATAAAGTTATTAACTCCCGGATTTAGTGGCAGCTTGCCAAATCTGGCAAGAACTGGACCTTTGTGAGCCTTCATGAAAGATAGTTTACATTTCTCGAGGCATTCTTGCTTAAACAGCTTCGAGTCTATCGTTTTGTTGGTGATGAAATGCTTGGTTTTGAGTCCGCAGGTGCAAATTCCTTACCAGATCATCAGTTTCCGGGGAAATTTATCGACGAAAACAAACTTGAATTTGCTGAGAACATCTCCCCGTACAGTTGCCAGATACAATTTTTGTCAAGGAATCTGCCTGAAATCGGCAATTTTCACCTTTTTTTAAATTGACCACGTCGAGTTTTCGGCGTAGGTGTACAGGATCACTTTGCTTATCTCGTCTTCCATCTAGTACAACTTTTTCAATACTGCACGTATCGAAACATAACTTTCACCACTGAAACACTCAGGATAAATTATATGATAATTTAAAAACGCTTTCCAAAATGACATAAGGATGACACTGTGACATCGTTGGAAGACACTGTTACATTGTTCAGTTTCAAATTGTTCGTAAACTAGTCCCCCAAATCTAAATAACACGCTCTGAAGCGTGTGAACATTCTTCGTTACCATTCAACCAGTTCTACAAACACCCTCCCCGGATCGATTCAATCGCCAAACCACAAATTCCGGCATTATGCAACCGGAAAAACAATCCCAGATGCACGAGATTTGACCTCGGATATCGCTCTGTGCATCGATACGTCTACCAACTGAATAATAATAACAATCCTCAAATCATCCCCAGAGCGGTCCACTCGTGCATTCAAAACTATATCCACCCCAAACAGCCCAAAATTATCTCTTCTAATTTAACCCAATCGCGGGTGGATGATGACATTCAAGCGAATCCACACGTACCCACGAGAGGCTTTCATCATCACCACAGCACCCTACCTACATCGATATTAATTATGTTTCGAAACAAACCAGCTACGGCCCCACGCACTAAGCTTCTCCGGTTTGGAGCTAGAGGTAATCGAAACTTTCCTGCTGTGGGACGGATTTTGGTGGTACTTTCCTATAATCCATTGGCCATCATTGCATTGATATGGTAATTCGTACGAATATTCCGCTGGCGGTGGTTTTGGTTTGGCAAGTTGTTGTGTGAATAATTGGTTATTAAAACAGTGCCATACATGCCTGCGTGCAATGGCGGCTGTCTGTTGGCTTTTCAGTCGCTAGAATCGGCGATGATAATGTGGGAAAGTGCGCTAATTTAGGGCTTAACTCGCAACGTGGGAAAACATATTGATCTCAATTCGTTGGGAGGATTTTTCGAATGGTGGTAGCAGATACGGAATTTGTAATGCAATTCGATATGAAGGCACGGGGTGTGAGGGATTGTGAACAACAGCCGGTTGAGTTCCCGTGGGAAGGAATTATAACAATATCACTGACAATTTGAAATTCATCTTTTTTCTTTCCTTTATTTAACGTCGGTCTCTGTTCCGCAATCTAGTGCCAATCACCGACGGACATCGATTGCCATCCATTGACGGCAATCGAATGTGCAGGAAGGCAGCTTCCACACCTGCGTAGGATATCGCACCCATTCAACAACACACATGGGCCGGGACCAACGGCTTTATTTCCCTTCCGAAGGAAGACGTGACCAGAGATTTTTATGCCTCAGAAAAATCCCACTGACCTCAACTGGGATTGAACCCAGACCCATTGGGGTGTTAGAAAGCAGTCACGCTTACCACTACACCACCGGCGCCGGCGAAATTCATCTATGTGACGGTACAAAACTTCAATGGGATAATCAAAATCGCAGATGATGGTGTTCCAGGAAGCGAAAAATGCTTCACTTGGAAATTGAATTTTTATCTGTGAAAATTGTTACAAGTTTGGGATTTCTTTAGATTTTCCTTAGAAGTTGTGTGTAATAACTAATCTGCAATTCAGTAGTAATTTTGCTAAGATTGATCCTAAGCGGCACCGGTTGTGAAGTGGTAAGCGTGATTATCTCTCATTCCAAAGGGCCTGGGTCCAATTCCAGTCGCACCTTCGGGATTTTCTGAGGAATAAAATCTCTGATCACGCCATCCTTTGAGAAGGAAGTAAGGCCGTTGGTCCCCGGTCCATGAGTTGATGGGTTGATGGCCAAGGTGTAACAACGGTAACATTGGTAGGTACTCAGTACGGAAAACAAGATCGACGGAAAACAAATCAAGGAAATCATCCTGAAATTTTTCTTGAAATGCTACGCCAAGATGCTTTCTGTAAATCTAATTGAACTCCATGGAATGCTTTTGGAATTCATCCTAGAAACCTGGGGTCGCTTCTTAAGTTTCTCTTGGAATAACTTATACAATTCAATTAAACATTATAATCCAACGTTCTACATACAATTTCTCCTGAAATCCCTCTGGAATTTCTTTAGAATTCCAACTACAATTACATTTGAAATTCCTTAGAGTTCCTTTACAATACTTCCAATTTTTTTTTTGTAACTTAGATGTAAGTTCTTCAGGAATATTGCAAAATATCCTGTTATTTTTTAACGCAGACGATTGCACTAATTTAAGCCAAAGTTAAGATAAAATTAGCAATATTGATCAAAATTTCACAAAAATCTGTTCAGTTTAAGTGTCATAACACCGGAATTTATTTATAATTCCAGCGAAAAACTGTATTTCGACGCAATCTCGCAGAATGATTTTTCAACAAATTTACTCAAAATTTTAATTTAAAAGGCTAAATAAATAGTGGATCTTTCCAACCATTGGCACCTTTGTTAAACAATTCGATTTTAGTGGATCCAAATCTATGATTTTATGGGCTTCGGCAGTTGAGGGTTAAGGCTGTAATGTTTTGTGTGTAATGTTCTGGTGCTTCGTACCTCCATAATTTGGCGGTCCCTAGAATGTCGAGTAAGCCAAAATTCACTTTTTCTTTTAAATTAATAAAAAAAATTCAAATTCATCAAGCTTTGCATTTGCCAGGTTCTAAATTTGTCAAATATCTTCTTCTTATTCTTCATTCTTCTTCTTCGAATTTAAAACTTATTGCTTATCGTATATTAGCCTTGTTGAGAGCACAACTTAGTATTCTACACAGAAAAAAATTCTGAATTTTAATTATCGCGTAAAATCTCCCTTCTTTTAATTTTGAGCTAAACTTGGCTTAAGGTTCAATTTACTTTGATGCATTTTTTAAAAATTCAAAAGCAGTTTTTTTCGACGCATTATTTTAGATTGCAAAAAGCTCGCGTCATTTTGTGTAAAATATCAAAAGGAATCGAATAGTGCGAGCTTTTTGCAATCTGAAATAATGCGTCGGAAAAAACTGCTTTTGAAATTTTCCAAAAAGCATCAAAGTAAATTGAACCTTAAACAGCGAAATCGTTTAGAAGCTTGCGAAATATCGTGTAAATTTATGCCAAATCAAGCATTAATTTTATGCTCTATATCTCGTAGAAATTTACATGAATTTTTCGAACTGTGTAGATGCTCTTCCACAGTTATTAATTAAGAGCTTTCAATGCCTGTACCATTTTTGACTAAGTATAATTGTATGGCAAGTCTAATCATACTTCTATCCAACCTGAAAAATTCCTATACCGAACCAGGAAGCGAACCCAGCCACCTCCAGCATGATCTTGCTTTGTAGCTGCGCCTGTACTACAGAGCTAAAGAAGACCCCACTGCACATTCGCTAAATTGTGAAATAAACAATGTCCTCATAGGGTTTTTCGATCTAATTCCCGTCTTACTGAGCACAACCCGTGCTTTACCTCTCTTTCCAATTCGGTTCAAATGCTTTGAAACGCCATAGGATTTTCTTCGTCTTACAGTGGAAGGTAATAGAAAGTGATTCGCTAGGAGTGCATCCTTTGTTTTTGAGAATATTGGAGGCAAATATTCTTACTTTGCGCTCTTATCGGTTTTGCTTTGCAACTTTTGACTATAATATTTATTTGAGCTAGTTGAAGTCATTAAAGCTCTACCCTACGCAAAATTAATCGAATTATAAATTCACATAATTCCAAAATCAACTATACCAAAATCCTTTTTATAATTTTTTCCAAATTATAGATTCACCCAAATTTATCATATTCCAAATTATTCTGATCCCGCATTCGTCCATTTAATTAATTCCAAATTATACATGATTAAGCAAATTTGTCAAATTTTAAATCCACAAATCTTACCAAGTTGGCCAAATTAACTGAATTCACTATATAG